CTGAGGCCTAGCTTTAATTCGAGCTCCTTCAAGAGGCATTCATTCATTCATTCATTCATTCATTCATTCATTCATTCATTCCCTGAAGAGGGCAGTCCCAAGGGATATCTGCCACACTCAGCACTGGGCATTTGGGGGGGTCCATATTTACCATAGGAGATATGGCATCTCTGCACACAAGTGGGTCTTATTACCTCACCTAAGTGTGAGCTCTGTGAGTGTAGGGGAGGACCAAAGCTAGAATCCCAGCCTTGCATTGTTGGTGTGACCCAGGGTAGCTGTCACTCCCCTCTTTGCCCTCAGGATCACAGCATCAGTATTGAAAAGCTGAAAAGGTCCCTAGATTCCTGGATTCACCATCTAACTAAAGCATCAATCCAATCAGACATCCCCTGACAGGCAGCACATCCAGTCTAGGTCTGAAAGCTCCCAGTGACTGGGCACTTGGGATTTTTCCAGGCTCTGCAAAGTGCCCTCCACCCACAGAAGGGTTTAGGAACCACCTTTTGGAGATCTACCAAGAGCATATTAAAATGGCAAGAACTAAGTCAGAAAAATGGAGTGCTAACAAAGGTACAGAAAAAAAAGAGAGCAGTAGTGATCAGAAAGGTGGTACTTTGGGGACAGGCCCAGTATCACTAAGGGCATCCATGCTTACCGGGGTGGGAATGAGCAGGTAGAGTTTGGGGAGAAAGGACATGAAAGGGGGGGCCTGAGATAGCAAGGTTTAGTCCTAGAATCAGAGCACCTGGTTTACAAGCTGGTTTCAACACTTCAGCTGGAAGCTGGTAAGCAAGGCAAAGTTCTGGGCTTGGAGTCAGGAAGACTTGAGTTCAAATTCTACCTCACATGCTTACTCTGGGTCATGGTTTCCTCATCAGTAAAATGAATGGGTTGGACTCGATGGCCTCTAAGGTCCCTTCCCATTCTAACTTTATGATTCCATGACTTACTAGTTAGGACAGTAGATGGGTCGCTTTGCCTCTATGAAATGTTTTCTCTTCTGTTAAACGGGAGTAGGAAATTCATGGGATGCAGCCAAAGCAGCACTTAGAGGGAAATTTATATCTCTAAACATTTATATCGATTACATCGATAAAACAGAGAAAGAGCCAATCAATGAATTGAGCATGCAACTAAAAAAAGTGCAAATTAAAAATCCCCAATTAAAATCCAAATTGAGGGGCAGCTAGGTGGCACAGTGGATAGAGCACTGGCCCTGAAGTCAGGAGGACCAGAGTTCAAATCCAGCCTCAGACCAAACACTTGCCACTTACTAGCTGTGTGACCCTGGGCAAGTCACTTAACCCCAATTGCCTAAAAAACAAAAAAACAAAAAAAAAGTGCTATCCAAGGTAGAATGTAAGCTCCCAGAAGCCAGGACAGGTCATTTTTAGTTTGTTGTTTTGTGACTAAAAACAAAAAAACAAAAATCCAAAATGGAAATCCTGAAAATCAAAGGAGAGATGAATAAAACTGAAAGTAAGAAAACCACTGAACTAACAAATAAAACTAGGAGCTGGTTTTATGAGAAAACCAATAAAATAAACCAATGGTTATTTTGATTTAAAAAAAAAAAGCAAGAAGAAAACCAAATTACCAGTATCAAAAATGAAAAGGGTGAATTCACAACCAATGAAGAGGAAATTAAAGCAATTATTAGGAGCTTTTTTGCCCAATTATATGCCAATAAATCTAACAATCTAAGTGAAATGGATGAATACTTACAAAAATATAAATTGCCTAGATTAAAAGAAGAGGAAATAGAATACTTAAATAACCCTATCTTAAAAAGAGAAATTGAGTAAGACACAAATGAACTCCCTAAAACAGAAGTAGGAATGCACACACTCCATCTCTCAAAAGGCCGCCATAGAAGCATGACCAGTTACTATCAGACCACTAGTTGATTGGGATCATGCCTTTGGGAGAAATGAGTCTAGATAGGTATTGTGGGACCACATTTGGGAGATTTTGAATAGCAGGTTCAAGAGTTTGAACTTTATTTAGTTGACCAAAAAATTATGGAAGCATTGACTTATAGCAAACTCAAGCAACCAATACAACCATCTTAATTAACAAATGAGAAAACTGAGACCCATAGAATGCTAAATGACTCATTAAAAAGAGTCGTTTTAAGCATCCTCTGAGACACAATTCTCATTAATCAGTCAACCTACAAATTTTAGTTGAGGGTCTACTCCATGCTCCCTCCTATTTTAGGAACTCTGAAGAAGCTACAAGTATGAAACATAGCTCTGAGTCTTAAATTTTTATCTTGTATACAAATAGCTGACCAAAGTCTAACTGGATTCATACTTTGTGGAAAGGAAGATTTTGGGGTAAGGTCTTCAGAATAGAATTCCCTATCATCAACAGATAGGTATGATACACCTACTATACAAAGAGAATACTCTACTAGGTGCTGGGGATATAGAAAAGCAGAAGTTCTAATTCTTACCTACCAGATAGTCATTCTCACTCTACTTGTAAAGACGAAATAAAACAACACATACAAATAACAGCCCAAGGTAGTCTATTACTACCAGTGGGTTAAGCAGTTAAGCACAATGACAGCTCAAAGTAAAGAGATCTTCCTGTGGTGAGATATGAGCAATACTCATTTTGAGCAACGTCGGATAAAGCAAAGCAGTAGGGTGGAGGGCTACATTCCTGACAGAGGAACAGGGAACAACTCGATCAATTTGCATTCACCTTTTGGGCTTATAGGAGCACAAAGGGTAAGAGCAGATGATGGAAGAATTGAGAAGTCTCTGAAAAGTGGGGCAGGAAAGTATGTTTAAAGCAATGCTTATGGAAGATTAATATGGTGGTCATATGTAAAATGGATTGTGAGGGGGTATGGATTACTGAAGATGGATGACCAGTTAAGAAATTACTATACCAGTCCAGGGATGAGGTATCAATTGAACTAGGGACAGGTATAGAACAGAGTAGAACCAAGAGACATATTACAAAAATACTTACCTACTTAATAGAATCCAAGAATGCCAGAGCGGAAAGGAACTTCAGAACAGAGACTATTGGGCCTGGAAGACACCTTAACACATAAGAAACAGCTAAAGGATCTTAAAACATAAAATTTTAAAGTTGGAAGAGATCTTAGAAAATAAACTGTCAAAACTCAGAAGGATTTCGGAAAAGTTGGAAGGGAGTATAGAATGTGGAATGTCAGAGCTGGAAGGGGCCTTAGAACATAGAATGTCAGAAGCAGAAGAAGGCCTTAAAAAGAACTTGAACTGGAAGGGGCTTAAAAAAATTAATTTAAGCTGAGAGAGGCCTGAAAACTATGAATTTTGGAACTGGAAGGGTTTGTCTAACTCAACTCCTTCATTTCACAGTTGGGGAAAATAAGGCCAAGAAAGGGAAATGAAGGCACCTATTACATTTAGTTCTGCCCCTGAAAATCCAGAACAAAGCAAAGCAAAGCAAAACAAAACAAAACAAAACATCACCACTTTGGAAACTCAGGAAAACTCACATTTAAACATGAACACCACAGGGAGTTAGCTGAATGAGAGAGGGAAAATTGTAACACTGACCTGAAATATCTGAGTAACTCAATGCTAGCACAATGTAGAATCAAGGGAAACCTACAATGCCTTTGGCTGAGTGTGTTCTTTCTCCTTGCTGGAGCCTAAGTGCATTTGTTGGAAAGTTGAGTTCATGTGCTTCTGATTCATCCATACTTAACTCATCTCTAGGCTGGTTTGTAATAGGCCTTTGATATGGAAGTAGCCTTAGTCCATAAGCCTCTTTAAGTCTTTGTTTAGTCAATAGTAGATACTCAAAAACCTCCAGAAATGAAAAATGCAATCCCTGGCTAGACCTTGGCTCTCAACAGGCCAGGTGGAGAGTGAGACCACTGGAGAGAAGCAACATAAGCAACAACTCCAGGCAGCTCAGCCGGGGGAATACAAAGAAGAAGGTGCAGTATTGGAAGACCTGGGTCTGGGTTAGCCCCTAACTCACTGTGCACATCCTTTCACAAGGCAATTTCCTCCCTGGACCTATTTCCTTATCTGTAAAATGGGAGAGGGTGGTTGGATTAGACAATTTCTTTATAAAAAAAACAACACAACATTATTATGAATTTGACAAACATCAATCAACACATGCATTTCCTTATAAAACAAAGAACAGAAAAAGAGGATTGTCTAAATCACTGTGAGACATATTAGATCAGAGATCCTCCACCTTTTTTGAGTCACGGACCCCTTCTCAGTATGTTTTAAAATGCATAATATAAAATATACAAAATTCCAAAGGATATCAAGTATAGTGCAATAGGTTATAAAAAAAAGTTTGTTTTTTTTTAAGTTAATGAATTCCAGGTTAAGAATTGCTGGATGAAGGGGGGCAGCTAGGTGGCGCAGTGGATAGAGCACTGGCCCTGAAGTCAGGAGTACCTGAGTTCAAATCCAGCCTCAGACCAAACACTTGACACTTACTAGCAGTGTGACCCTGGACAAGTCACTTAACCCCAATTGCCTAAAAAAAAAAAAATTGCTAGATGAAATGATTTCTAAAGTCCCCCACTTACCTAGACATGCTGTAGTTGAAGGCCGTCAAGTTCTTAATGTTCTAATCAGCAATTGTGAAAAGTGTTATACTACGTTGGAAACTAAAGGCAACATGGTATAGTGGTGCAGAATGCTGGATTTAGAGTAGCAGAACCTAAGTTTAAATTCCAGCTCTGCCACCTGTGTGAAGTGGGCAAGGCACTTACCCTCTCTGGGCCTCAGTTTCTTCATCTACAAAAAGAGGATGTTAAACTAGATGGCCTCCAAGGTCTTGAAAGAGGCTCCAAATCTATGGTCCTCTTTTCCACAAGGCTTTAACCTGAAGGTAATCCTGCTCCTAAACTGTCCTAAGAGTACAGCAACTTCCCTCTGCCTCACCCAGACTCTCTGTTCAGACCCAACCCGAACATCTTGTCTCCCAAACCATCACAAACCCAGTGCACATGGACAAGAGGATCAAGGCCTCTTCTTCAAACCCTTTATTAGACACTTAGATAAGGCAGAACTTTGTTCAGTGGCTACTCAGCCAGGGAAAAAGACTCCTAAGGAGGCTGAGATGATGACTTTCGCTGGGCAGATGCAGAAGGAGAAACTGAGTCAAGGCCTCCAAAGAACAGAAGTCTTTGAAAGAGGAGCTCTTGGGTTTACATACAGATATATCATTAAAATAGGGTCTCACATGAGAGAATCTCCACTACACATGGTAAATGCATTTTTTTGTTTGTTTGTTTGAGATTCTGGCTCTCAGGATACTGGCAGTAAAGTCCTCCCTTGCCTAATTTCAGGTTAACTCTGTTCTGTAGTTAGACTGCTGATCTTGGAAGTTTGAGAAAATAGGAGTTCTAGAGGGAGGGAAAGGCAGATTATCACAAACTGGCTCCATTTCTCCCCCTCTCAATGGTTTAAATATTTGAGACACGGCCTGTGTGATGAGTGGTTATTTCATGAATCATGAGTTTATGTGATAACTGTACTGAACTCCCTAGTAGAGAACTGTGACCTTTTTGGGGGACACCTCAGCCCTCGAGCTGTTACAGAGCAGGCCACAAGGATAAACAAGCTATCCCTCTGAGCCTTCTTCCTTCCCCTTCAGCAGAAACACTCCATGCTGGCTCGGACACGTTCCATCTCACTCAGGAAGTTATAGAACTGAGGCAGAGTTAACTCTAGGGAGAGAAAATTCAGTGTCAGGTAAATGTTTCCAATTTTTATAGATTCCTCAAAGGATTACTTTTCATAAACAACTTTTTTAAATCTTCCTTCTGCTGGGCCTACAAATACTAAAATGATGAAAAGAAAAAAAAAAGGTCAAAATCACATATAAAAGGGTGAAATATGACAGATTTCCACAATGAAGGATAGTCTTCATGGTGTTTAGAGTGATAGTTTTAAATGTTTTGTATTATTTAGTTACAATGTAAGCTTCTTAAGAGCAACGACTCTTTCATTTTTGCCTTTGTACTTTCAGAGCTTGACACAGAGTAGGCACTTACAAAATGCTTGCTGACTAATGAATTTATGAACATGTTTTTATTTCCCCTAACTATAGCACTGTTCATCCTTATAACCCTTTACATGTTTACCAGAGAGTAATCAGCATTTATGGGATAGAATTGAATTTTGAAGAATTTTAATCCCCAACTTCTATCTCTTCTTTTTGAAAAGCCAACCCATGGGGCCTGGGGGCCTCACTAGGTGGCACAATGGATAGAGCACCAGCCCTGGAGTCAGGAGGACCTGAGTTCAAATGTGACCTCAGACACTTACTAGCTATATGACCCTGGACAAATCACTTAACCTTTTGCTTCAGTTTCCTCAACTATAAAATGGGGATAATAATAATAATACCTCCAAGGGTTATAGTGAGGATCAAAGGAAATAATAGTTGTAAAGTGCTTAGCATAGTGCTTAGCACATAATAAGTGCCAGCCATTATTATCATCAATATTATTATAAACGGAAATGTTCATGTAAACAAAGACCCTTATTTCACAGAAGGGAAAACTAACACTCTGAATACGGAAATAGCTTGTCAAAGCTCACTGGTGATGGCACCAATCCTTGAACCCAGACCCCCTGACTGCCACTCCTTTTTACCCTAGCCTTCTCATGAGAGCTCCATAAATGAAGAAAAGCTAAATATGGGTCTAAGTCACAGAGAAGAAATATTTCTGTTCTGTAATAGCCCTGCTCAGGAAAAGGGAGGTAGGACTTACCTATATACACGTTTTCAGTCTGGTTTCCTTTTTTAACCACCAACTTTAACTGACAAAGAAAAAAACAAAATCCAAAGCTGTCGGCTTTTAATTTCATAGTTCTTTGTGAGCACTCCAATTCTCCTCCCAAACCTAAGCTTCCTTAATGTACCCCAGTATCTGATAATCAAACATTCTGCATAAAACTGGTAACATTCATCATGGTCACCCCTCCCTCCAACCCCCCAAAAAATCCCAGAGTTGAAGAGTTGAAAGAGAGCTCAAAGGCCATCTTGTCCAACCCAACCCTGCCCCAAGGCCCAAACCCTTACTACAACACTGCTCTTGTCAGGGTTGTCAAGGAGCCAGTGCTTGAAGCCTGCCTGCGATGAAGCCCTTTACTCTATTAACAAGTCAGGGATCTATGGGGAGTCCCATAAGTATGAGTGCAGTTTTAAGCTATTAAAGCTTAAATTTGCTAAGCATTAAGACTTTGGGGACTCCCTGTATTTGTTTCTATGACTGTTCTCAGGAAACAGAATGCAGATTTGATCCTAATTACCGTCATTTTAAAAGATTAAATGACAAAAGCATGCATATTTCCAAAAGGTTCTTTTTGGGAGGGAAGGGGGCATAGAGGGAAGACTTACTTGTAAAAAAATACTGCCCACTTTCTGCAGTTCACTGCTCCCCGATGTCACTGTGACACAGAAGGAAAAATCAAGAGAATGAGATGTATCGAGAGACACTCCTGAAGGGCTTGCAAGTGTTTGAGAAGCTTTATTTACACACACATCTTTTTGGGCAGCTTCTGGACAGCAGTTTTAGGAGTCAGGAACTCTTCTATGTGTTACTATTTCATTTTACAGGTGAGGAAAAGACTCGGGGAAGTGGAAGGACTTTCCCATTGTCACTGAGGCTGCCTTATGTAATTACGTCACACTGGCTTTCCACAGGAAAGGCAGTAAACAAGTCACTGACCCAAGAGTTACTTGGAAGATCCAGATTCTACAGACCATCTAACAGATGGATCATCAGGGCTAAGGGGAGAAAGCAAAATTAGAAGCTTGCCCAGCGGGAAAAACAGGTTACTAGCACCTAGAAGCTAGGGTTAGATATCATTTCACTGCTTAGGCAGGAGGGTCCCCATTGAATTAACACAAACACCCTTCTATGAGAGGACATCTTCCCCATTTGAAGTTCCCTTTCTTCCACATACTTCCCCTGATCTCCCCTCCCCCCATTAATTTCAAAGCTGGTTCAAGCTAGTTACCTCCGAATTTCCATTCCATATCTATAAGCTGGTTGATCATCAGTGTCTGTCCTACCGCCCATCGTGCAAGTGTGGGAGATTTCTGTTTCCACTGCCAGAATAAAAACAAATTAAAAAAACACATGAAGAGGAAAATCTTCTTTCTATCATTTCCTCCATTTCCCAACCCCTTTCCCCCAATAAGAGATTCAATCCTAGGCAGTAGACATAAAAAGGCCTACATGCCCCTATCCAGAAAGGTGACAAGGAAGAGGAAGGAATTTAAATATCTTCTGTCTTTCCAACATAGCAATAATGGTTGGTATAAAAATAACGACTTATCACTTATTAATTCTGAAATATTTAAATCTAGCCCAAGGGAAAAAAACCATGCACTGAAAGCATTACCCCAGTTATATGGTAATAATAAAAGCTCACAGTGATATAGCACTACAAAGCTCTCTCTTGACAACAACCCTACTGAGTAGTGCAAGTATTATTAACTCCCTTTTAATATATCCAGAGGTCAGAATATGGGTCTTAAAATAGGTCCCCTGACTTTAAGCCCTGTACTTCTTTCCTTTTCTTTTCTGAGGTATAGGGAATGCCCAATAAGGAAACTCCCTCTATCAAAGTGGATAGTATAGGCACCTGCCCCACAACATACAGTCTTAGAGATTGAGGGAGGGAAACAGAAGTGGAGAGACACTGGGGCTAAATGCCTTGCCAGGGGTCACACAGCCAGTCTTTTTATCAGACGTGGGGCTTGAACCTAAGCCTTCTTAACTCCTGCATCCTGCCAGGCAGCCTTTCCCCAGTCATCTTTTCTGTGACTCTGTGCTATCAAACGAAAACCATTAAGCCAAGAGAAGTTATCTGCGGTTGACTATTTTCTCCAAATCAGTGTTTTTCCTTTTATGAAGTAAAACATGAATACCCACATGAATGAGATCACAGATGGACTGGAGTATTGGAAATAAAACAAGAAATCTTAATTAATCCTGATTAAAAGGAATTGAGATACCTTCTCAGAAAAATAAGTGGCTTTCTCTTCACTGAGCCCTGAGGGAGAAAAGAATAAGGATTAGCATAATAAAAGGCACCAATCACTTAATATTTAGCAGAGGCAAATAAAGGGCCTACCCAGAGTAATGAAATCTGCTCTGACCTGCTCAGCAGTCATATTCTTCTTCAAGGCACCTAGGAAGCAGAAAGACAAACTCTGTTTTAAACCTGAGAGCCGTCAGCCTTTGCAGGATTAATGAGTATCCTGGGCTGTGTAGGGGAGACCAAAGAAATAAAAGACTTAGACCCATATAAGGTCTAAAATCTAAAATGGAGAAAGGAAACAGGCAAGAATTAACAAGACAATCTGATTGAACAGATATATATTAAGCAATGTGCAACACACTGTGCTAGGTACTAGAGGATACAAAATCCGAGGATTCCAGGACTTAGCAATTGAAGGGATATAAAAGATCATTTGGTCTTTATTTTACAGAGAAGGAAACTAAGGCTCAGAGAAAGGAAGTAATTTGCCCAAAGGAACAAAGTAGCAAGTCTTGAATTAGAATCTAGGGCTGAGGATGAATTATGAGCCCACTGCATGAAAGCCCTGGCACAGATACAAAGGTAAAGTGACATAAATGGTCCTATACTGTGCCCTCTAAAGGCTTCTACCGTAACCCACAAGGGGATGAAGACAAGGGCTCTGGTATGGGGACTGACTTTATGTAGGGAACAGAATTGGGCTCTACGACAGTCAAGGTTCTAGTTCTGGCTTGCCAAGTAATTTCTCTTTCCTGGACATCAGCTTCCTCCTCTGTCAAACGAGAGGGTCGGACAAGGATTCTGAAGTGTAAAGGGAGTTAACAGAAAGGACTAACACGGGTAATCAGGGAAGGTTTCCTAGAAGGGGCAAGAATTGACTTGGGTCCTCAAAGGATGCTTGTCATCAATACGTAGAAAAAAGGGTAAGAGTGGGAGGAGAGAAATCATGTCTAATAAAATTCAAGGCAAAGTAGTTTACAGGGGAAAGCAAAAAAGAAGATTTTACAAGACTTAAGTTTTATAGATTATACTGAGCTCCTAATTAACTTGTAAGAAATATCACCCCTTTCTTTGCAGATACTACTTGTTTAAAGATATCAGCTGGATCCTATAGTAATTAGATTTGTGGCTAAGCTGTCAACCCTTTGGCTAGCAGCGGCTTAAATTCTAAAGTTCCTTCCTACCGGGCCTAGCTAAGTCATCCCCCTGAAGTCCTAGGGACCAGCCCCTGCTGAGTCCTCAGGCTTTGTTCTGGAGTCGGGACAAGAGGCTCCAAGTCTCTGAAGTGGTGGTGGTGGGTGGGAGTGGTGGTGGGGGTGGGAACAAAGCATTGATAAACGTCAGTACCTTCTCTAAGCTTTGGAGACCAACTTTTCAACCAAAATTCTAAGTAGAAAGTCACAAATAAATGCCTGGTAGCTTTACCACTAGCCTCTTCCTAAACCTTGAGAAGAGGCTTAAAGAACAAGAAGTGAAGATATAAGCTCTTATGGGCCCCAAACTGCCTCCTCCCCTTACTCCTCCAACACTCAGACATGTCTATGGCCACAAACACCTGAACAGAAACCATTTAAACAAAGAAAGGAAATCTTTCATCTCAGAAATCTGACAGGACAAGGAAGTCTAAAGTGGAGAAAGGCAAAATGCCAGGAAGCACTATGTGCTTTTGGGCAGCCTGGGCAGGCTCAAAAGAGTCAGTCAACAGTCCCATCTAAACTCCTAAGACACTAGATCCAATGGGGCTACTCTGGAGGGCCCGAGGAATCTTTCATAATTCCTGAAATTTGCCTTTGCAGTAGGTTTATTAAAATGAACTTATAAAGTACTATGTGAGAAGCATCATGCTAAGTAAGCTCTAGAGATAACAAGGAGAAAAATAATATTGTCTTGGCTCTCAAGAAGTTCACACTCTAAGGGCAGCTAAGTGGGGCAGTGTATAGAGCACCGGCCCTGGATTCAGGAGGACCTGAGTTCAAATCCAGACTCAGACACATAATACTTACTAGCTGTGTGACCCTGGGCAAGTCACTTAACCCCATTGCCTAACCGGGAAAAAAAAAAAAAGAAAAGAGGTTCACACTCTAAATCAGGAAGATAGGACATGCAGGGGAGTTCAGCTATAGAGCAATGTCAAGGGCCCAAAGACCTAAGCGTGTGGTTACAAGATGTCTGGAAAGGCCCAGATATCTTGAGGATGCATTGGGGTATCTGTCTCATAACAGCAGCCCACCACCATTGGAGAGGGGAAAATGAGCTTAAGGGTCTAAGCAGAGAGGGACTTCTGGGTTCCCTCCATAAAGGGTAAGGTGCACTGGCAGGAAGGCGGAGGGTGGGCAGGTAGTTCATTCATGATCCATTCACTGAACAAAGCTTGACTGAACACCCACAGTATATACTGCACTGTGCTGGAACCTAAGTATACAAAGAAAATCCCTGCCCTCACGGAGTTAACAGTCTAGTAGGGAGTTAAGCCATGCACTCCTCCAAACAGGTACCATCACGAAACATGGCATTTCATTGGCGAAATGAGCTCACAGGTTTGGAAATACTTTTCTACCAATGCAGGTCAGTTTTCGATTTGGAACTTAAGGAGTTGTCTAGAGCACTAAGAAGGTAGTGACTCGCCCAGGGTCACAAAGCAAGAATGTGTCAGAGGCAGGACCTGAACCCAAGTCTTCCTAGTTCCCTCTTTATCCACTAGGCCACACCACCTCTGAGCTAGATAAACAGAATACAAACTAGATTACAGTAAGTACATGAGATTAAAACAGGAGTCAGAGGAAGAGATCTTTTAGAGGATGAAGGCTGTCAGGGTTTAAAACCTCATTTGAATTTGAGCTAAATCTTTAAGGATCCAGAGGACCTTCTCTTAGGCCCCTCCCTGATGAGGCAGCACTGGGGAGAGATTTGCTTGAGAAGGGCCTGGGCAAGAAAGGCCTGGTGTCTGACCAGGGCACAGAAGGTGGAGGAGAGTCATGAGTAAGTTTGAGCTGGACAGTCACAGGCTTTGAGGCCAAGACTTTATCATTTGAGCTTTGTTGTTTTGTTCTGTTTTGTTTTTTTTTTAATCATGAACAATAGGAAAGGTTATTTCTCAGGCCCTCGTGTATTATAATTTAGAGAAGGCAGGTCCATAGACTGAGCCATTGTAAAAAAAATTTTCGGGATCAACCTAGTCCTTGGTACTTTTACTCTCTGCTAAATCAATGAGTGCAGAAAAGTTTATCTGGGTCCTTTCTCAAAAAAGGGGCACTCAAGAAGATACTAAGCCCAGTGCAACACTCACAGTAATAGGTGACTGACTGGACTAAAAGAGAAAGGAGAATGTGGGCCTCAGTTTGCTCATTTGTAAAATAAGGACAGAACTCTTAAGGTCCCTTCCAGTTTTAAAGTATTATCTTAAGCTCCTATGTAAGCACTAAGGATGATAAATCATTGAATCCCACCAAGGAGAAATAAGATTTTCTTTCCCTAAACACAAATAGTTCTGGATCTTAGAGGTAGCTAGATGGTACAGTAGATAAGAGTGCTGGGCCTGGGGTCAGGAAGACCTGAGCTCAAATCAAGCCTCAGACATTAGCTATGTGACGCTGGGCAAGGTATTCAACAACTCTGTCTGCCTCAACTATAAAATGGGAATAATAATAGCACTCTTCCCAGGGTGGTTGTGAGGATCAAATAAGATAATGCTTGTAAAGTGCTCAGAACAGTACCTGGCACACAGAAGAGGCTTAATCTAAGCTTGTTTCCTTCCTTCTCAGCCAATTTTTTTTTTTTTGCTTTTTTTGGTGAGGCAATTGGAGTTAAGTTACTTGCCCAGGGTCACACAGCTAAGTAAGTGTCAAGTGTCTGAGGTCATATTTGAATTCAGGCCCTCCTGACTCCAAAGCCAGAGCTCTATCCACAGTGCCACCGAGCTGCCCCTCTTCTTAGACAGTTTTGCAGGTTGCTACAGGAACACTGGCCCAGAAATCAAAACAAATGGGTTAAGTTCCAGATCTGATACTTGCTGTGTGATCTTGGGCCCAAGTGACCTGTTAGAGCCTCAGTTTCCACATCTTTGATACAGGGCCAGTAGTACTTGTCCCACCAATCCCATTAGGCTGTGGGAGATGAGTTAACAGAAGAGACTGCTAATACATGAGCCATTACTAAAAAGCCCCAGAGTCTTATTTCTCAAAGTCAAGGCAATTTTGGTTAGAACACCTGGTACCAGTGTGAGGGTCCAGAGAGAAGCTAAGGGAAGAGTAAAGATTTTGCTTTTGTTAAAATTTGTTGGAAAGTTAGCAAATATTATTCCTCAGGCCATCAATCTACACAATCTTGTTTGGTGTAGCAAGGGAAAAAGGATGCCAAAATGAGGCCATTGTGAAAAAAGTCCAAAGGCGGAAGGGGGGAGAAAGAAGATCCAGAGTTTCAAGAATTCAATAAATATGTACTAAAAAGATTGTCTAGTGATATCACACAATTTAGTGTCTACTTGAGCCTCTTAGAACCCGTGTTTCTCTTCTAGGTTCAGCTACAGGGCCACTTTCTTTTTAAGGCCTTCCCTAAATCCCCCAGCTGAACCAGGAGACCCTTTATAATTATTTTGTATTTACTTATCTTTGTACAGGTTGTTTCCCCCATCAACCCCACCCCTAGGCCAACATAAGTTCCTTGAGGTCAGGTGGCCATTTCTATTTTGGTCTTTACTTCTCAGCTCCTAGCACTGTCCCAGACACAGCCTGGGCACCTATGAACTGCTGGGTAAAGTAAAAAAAAAAGATGTTTGAATGTGCCTGGCCCTCTTCATACACTTGGCTAAGACTTTCTCTTGAAAACCAAAAGGTGTGTAATCCCTGAGTCAATGTTGGGGAGTGAGTTTTAGAAAGAACTGCTTTTGAAAAGTTGATATAATGTTTAGCTCTTGAACAGAATGCAAACCCTTTTTTACATTTTTTTTTTGTCTTTGAATACCTCACCCCACATAATGCCTAGCACACAGTAGGTACTATTAACTCTGCTGAATGAATATCTTACTCCCTAAAGCTTCCTGCAGCAGTAGAGATCTCTACAATGGCAGTCTCAACTCTAAGGACCCTCATCAAACCCTTACTGAATGGCTAATAATAGTGATAAAAGGTTCCCAGTGGTACAAATATAACTCA